ACACACACACACACACACTTCTCTTTGCTAGTCCAACTCTTTCTTTCTCCTCCGTGCCATCCTATCTCCACCTACCTCCTCCTCCTCCTCCTGGCATTTTCTCTGACAAATGCCTTCTGTTCTAGCTGATCCTTTTTCCCCCTCCTGTTTTTGTTCTCTAGAAACATCCCCTCCCCCCCCCAGAAAAAAAATATTGACTGAACAATTCAGGATGTACCCATGCTCCTGGCAGAAGTTTCATCATCAGGCCTGATTGATTCTATCTTGACATCCCTTGGTACTTGTCCAGGGTCTGAATTGGGATCCAATCTCTACTCTCAATCTAGTCCCAACCTCTGGCTCCCCACCCCACCCCCACCGCCCGCCTGTCTGGCTTCTGCGTCTCCTTCTTCTGTGGTTTGCATCTGGCAGGCACAGACGCCCAAGTCAGCTGCACGGGGATGGGGTGGGGGTGGGTGGCAGGCTCTTCTGCCCGGGGGGTGGGGCAGAGCCAGGCAGCTGCATCCCCTAGGTAGCTACTGGCTGGGTATGGCGGGTCAGGGGCAGATTTTCACTCAGGAGGGCACTCAGCACCACGCAATCCAATCCAACTCAGTTGACAGCCAACTCAACCCTTCCCCTCCCTCGCTCCCCTCCCTCCCCTCCGCCCCCTTCGCTGCCTGACTCTGGCTCTCCCTCCATCCCCGTGGAGCTGTCCTTCCCCTTTGGTGCTGAATCGCCTTCCAATCCCGCCGCCAGGACTCGCTCCGGCGACTTAGCTGCTTCGTTCCAAAACCCCCCACTCAACGCGCCACCTCCTCCGTGTGCGTGTATTTTAACACTGCTAGAAAATAAAGCGTGCGGGGTGTTGGGGAGCGGGGGGGGGGGAGAAGACTCGGAACAACAGGATAGCAGAAGGAATTGTCAGCCCCATTTGGGCTGAAGACTCCAAGGGAGAATGAACCCTAGTTATTGGACTTTAGACGGAATCCCCTCCTCCTTTTCTCTCCTTTCAGTTGCTTTTGGAGCGGCGCAGGAGCTTCTGCCCAATCCTTAGACCCACCCTTTTTTTGGGGGGGGGGAGGAGAGGGTGAAGCTGGGGAGAGGGTTGCGGGGGGGGGGAGCAGCTCTTCTCCACGGGGTTTTCATCCATGCTTGGTTGGCAAGACCCAGAGCTGTCCATCTCTCCGGGATCTCGCTCAGAGAGCCAGAGGCACTTAACAAGCTCGGAAGAGAAGAACCGAAAAGCGGAAAGTGATAGTTAGAGCAAGTCCGAGCAGGAAACCTTGTTCTCCGGGACTCTTATGGCTTGAAGGTAAGGGCAAAAGAGCGGCAGCGTTGATTTGTCAAGTTTTGGGGATGAGTTTGCATTGCGGAACAGACGATGCCTAGAGTTTGGGCTGGCTGGGGAGCAACAGAATATCCGGGATGCACAGATTCCCACCCCCATTCAAATGTATACTGTACCATAATTTATCCGCAGTCAGGTACTCAATGAATGTCAGAGGGGAACCATTTCCCGAAATATGTGGAGAAATGCCGTCAAATTTCAAATTTTAGAGGGGCAATCCTCCTGCCTTGTCAAGTCATTTCTTTTACGGTGTGAATAGATGCGAGGACAAATTGGCTCTGATATTTATAGAATGCTGATGCTTTCATTGGCCATGTGAAAGGTAGGGTGTCTGTATTCTTTAGTTCCGATATAAGAGAGGATTTCTCCCGCTGTTAGCATTTGTTGCCACTAATCTTTTTGTTTCAGGGGAATAAGGCAATATAACCATTGGGCTAGCCCAAACATCTCCAGACAGCCTGCCCGCTGAATGCAGCCCTATTTATGCACTTGTGTCTATTCTCATTAAATTTTTATACCCAACGATGCTGCTAGATTTCTCCAAGGTTTTAGCTGTTCAGTTTGCTTTGCTCAATATTCCCCAGAGGTCACTGATCTCTGTTCCCATTCTGCAGAGGGATAACTTTTATTGCAAACCCATCTCTCTCTCTCTCTCTGGTGTTTATATCTGCCCTGCCGCTGCTTCTTTCTCTCCAGAAATCAGGAGAAAGTTGATTAACTGTTTTTCATCTATAGGGTAAAATAAGTCTGGCCCAAGTGAGGTGGAGAACTCTCTTTGCAAACCTGTCAAAATATTGCAATCCTTTCGAGATGGCATGGGGTGGGTGTTTTTTTGTTCATTGTATTTATTTTTTAATTCTGCTACATGCCACCAGCCTTGACTGCTTCTGGGAAAGCCCACCGGCACAGATGGTGCCATATCTGTGTGGAGTGGCCATGAGACTTTCTAAAAACTGGGTTTGTTGAGGAAGGGCCACCTGAGGTCCTCATTGCGGTGCTATTTGTAGCCCTGTCCCATTCCTCCAGTAGAGTAGTCCTCTATGGGGCTGGGAAGATTGCCCGAGGCAGAGTGTAGGATGCCTTAGCACAGAATCCCAGAATATTTTAAAATGTTCTGATATAAGATGGAGTGAAAATTGAATTGAAGACTCTAGTTCAGAAGTCGCAGAAGTTCTGTGGAACAACGAGGGGGGCTGCTAATCAAACGTAACTCTCTTCTTTGCAGACATGTAGCCGTCTCTGTGCAAAGCTTTGTGAGTCTCTAATTTTTTCCCCATGTAAATATAATCGCACAAAGACTTTTTACAGCACAGCCATCTCCCATTGAAGGACGTTTATGGGCTCCAGACGAATCTTTGTGGGTTGCTACTGGCAACCTAAATTGGTGGCTTTTGTTTTGCCCTTTCGTTCATATAAAGGAAATATTTGAAAAAAATGTTAGAAAGATTAAAGCAATGATTTCCCTGGAAGACTGTAGTTTTCTGCACGACATACAGCAAGAGGCAAAATTTTCCTTCCATACCCGGGATATTTTTTTCACATGATTTTTTTTGTGACACTTGAAAGGAGTCCTGTTCTTAAATACCCAATCCAATCAGTTGTTGTTTCACTTTACAAGAATCCAAAATTATACAGAACAAGAACTTTGGAGCACAGGAGAAAATGGAAAAGGGACTCTTAACCGACCTTGCGAAGTTGATCCGTTCTCTCTAAAACAAAACTTCCCCCGATAGCCAACCGTGCCATCTGAAAGAATGGCAGCGGGCAAAGATAGGATATCACTGGACGTCTCTGATGGGGGTGATTTCTGGTGGGGGCGCAGGGCATTTTGACTTCATGAATTCTTGGCTGCCTTCACACAAGTCAGTCAAAGTAAAACAAGGTTAATGGTGGCACAGCACATTGTGAATCACGGGAATTGTTTCGGCGTGTTGTGCAAATAAGGCTGTTAGGTCAAGCCATGACTGCATTGATTTGGCAATATTTGGGCAGAAGCTTCTTTTATTTACCCGGGTTTAGCGTGTTGTGTAAGCCCAGCCCTTCAGATGCGTGCCTTCAGTTCTCTGGGCACTGGCTGACTTGATTTGACAGGGCGTGTTTTCCTCCCAAGCAAAGGAAGGAGACTAAACCTTTTGGCCTGTGAAAAAGGACTGCTGAGGCGAGTTGCAGAAGAGAAAAATGAAATGTCAACTTTTGAAAAAGCAAAACAGAATCGGAACTCGGGTGCCAGGTGACTTAAGGCGAGCAGGGAAATAAGCACCCCGTAAAGAGGATTTAATGCTATGATGAAACAATGCGACTCTAGGGTGCGGATACAGAAATGATTGCAAGAAGCTGAAAGTCATATAACATGGCTTATGTTGTTGTTGTTGTTGTTAGTTGTGAAGCCGTGTCTGACCCTTTGTGATTCGCGATCCCATGGGCAACGCTGTCCATGGGGTTTTCATGGCAAAGATACTGGAGTGGGTTGTCATTTCCATCTCCAGTGGATCACGTTTTGTCAGAGCTCTCTGTATGACCTGCCTGTCTTGGGTGGCCCTACATGGGATAGCTCATCGCTTCATTGAGCTACGCAAAACCCTTCACCACAACAAGGCAGTAATCCACGAAAGGGATCGGTTATGTAAGGACCAGGAAAAACCAGGCAGCTTCCATTAGCTTTCATGCGATGCTAAAAGGCTCATACTTGTAAAGAACGGTTGCTGGAATCAGGTAGGACTAGGAGTGACATGGTAGCAGCCTTCCAATATCTCAGGGGCTGCCACAAAGAAGAGGGAGTCAAGCTATTCTCCAAAGCACCTGAAGGCCAGGCAAAGAAGAATGGATGGAAACTAGTCAAGGAGAGAAGCAACTTAGAACTAAGGAGGAATTTCCTGACAGTGAGAACAAGTGGAAGGACTTGTCTCCAGAAATTATAAATGACCCAACAGTGGAAGTGTTTAAGAAGAGATTAGACAACCATTTGACTAAAATGGCATACCGTTTCCTGCCTGAGCAGAGGGTTGGACTAGAAGCCCCCCAAAGCCCCTTCCAGCTCTTAGGAGGCGCAGTGGTTAAATGCAGCACTGCAGGATACTTCAGCTGACTGCAGTTCTGCAGTTCGGCTGTTCAAATCTCAGCGGCTCAGGGTTGACTCAGCCTTCCATCCTTCCGAGGTGGGTGAAATGAGGACCCAGATTGTTGTTGGGGGCGATATGCTGACTCTGTAAACTGCTTAGAGAGGGCTGAAAGCCCTATGAAGCGGTATATAAGTCTAACTGCTATTGCTAACTGCTATTGCTATGCTATGCTATGCTTATCTATCTATCTATCTATCTATCTATCTATCTATCTATCTATCATCTATCTATCTAT